GCACATCCGGTTACTAGTTTAGGCCTGTAGACTAAACAGAAGTAAGCCGTTGACTCTCCCCAACTCAGGAAAGTAAGAAAATGTAGGGATCGTTCACCTCTTCCTCCTCCAGGGCCACAGTCGGAACACGTAGCTTCGCAAATGGGACGCTGCGGGGCAGCTGCGGACGGATATATGACACAGGCAGTACTGCGGACACCTATTGTCATACACAGAAGCTAAAACGGTGGGGGTGCTCGTAGAATGAAATATACCACCATTACCTATGTAATCGCCGCATTAGCATTATGCTAATAACAGGCCACGGTCAAGATATCCCTCAAGCTGTGGAATTAGCTCTACGCTAATAAAAGACAGCTGTTCAAAACTAAATGATCGACTACTGCGAAATGTAAAGATGCATTTGCAAGTATACCAAAAGTGTTTCTAGTATGCGACATTTTCCACTCATGTTTTTTGAACATGTCTTGTCACCAAGTTTTTTTCTCTCTCGTAAGTTTGGGAGGGGGCTGTTTGAAAGAGTTATTGTGGATCTACTCAATCCTCAAAATACGCCGAAATAACAAAACTTGCCCATAAGAAAAACAAAATCGTCCAATTAAAAACACAGGACAGAACTTGCAGTGCACTGAAGAACAAGGCCCCATCCTGGTGACACGTCTTTAACCATAATGTGACCGAGTTACTTAAATTATTTACAATTTTAGCTCACGCAACTAACCAGGAGGAATGAACCCTCCATCCAGCTACAAACGGGTACTTAAAAAAATCTCCACCGTTACACGTTAACTTTGCCAAATCGCTCCCTCCCTCTCATTTCGGCTCACTCGACGTTTAAATAAAAATGGAGGCTAAAAAAGGAAACGCGATCTCCCCTCGCAAATACCACCCATTTCTCCTCGCCGCTTCGGAGGGAGGGAGGCTGGCTGAGGGGTTGGGGGGAGGGAGGTGGAGGAGAATGAGAAAAGCAAGTCACCGCTTTGAGAGTTTAGCGAGCTAGGCCCGCTCGAAAAGAGAAAGTTTAGCGGGCCAGGCTGCCAGACAGCAATGAAGCAGCAGCAAGAAAAATATGACAAAACTGAGCAGGTCCCACAAACGCGCACTTATTTGTTACTTATGCGCTAGCGAGACGTGACGCCGGACAAGCTTAAGGGGGCGGGAAAACCCACTTTAAATGAAACCCTCAAGTAATAAACTCCTGAGTACCTGGATGTTAGAGAACACGTCAAAAATTAAACTAAGAGATTAATGGTATACCAAATTAAATAATCGAAAAGTGCCAGACTTGCTCGTTTTCTGAAAAGTTGGCTAGCGGCATGTGAATTTTTAAATAACCAAATGTATTATTGTAAACTACCAAAAGCTCTGTTTCGAATAATCAAGAAATCAATATGGCTCTCAACAAGAAACACTAGGTAGCTGGCAGGCTATTACCAAACGCTGAGACTGGTAACCAGCTAGCTGGCCAGCTTCGTACTTGCCCAATGTCATGTATCCAAACTAACTTGCTACATATCAGATCCACTCAATCCGTTAGTACGTTTTAATTTCCCAGTTTTCAAACATATTTAATATAGCACTGTGGAAATTATAAACTTCCATTTCCCATCTTTAACAAGTTAGCAAGCTACTTGTATGGACGGGGCACAACTAGGCAATACGTCTTGGTATATTTGTGGAATTATTGAAGACACTGAAATTAATTTGTTTACACACACTCCGGTCAGTGGTTGTGTTATTGCGGGCAGCAACGAGTGAACCATTATGCACACTGAAAGTAAAAGATAAAAACAGTAAAAATGCTCATTGTTTACATGATCAGGATTGCAATGCCTGCACGAGGACTTGCTCAAATAAATATTATCCAATCTGCTGATGTGTAATTCCCATTAAAAACTTCAACAGTTAAAAAAAAGGCTAAATAGTTAACTAGACAACGAGACTAAGTTAAGTTAAATGCCAACAGTTAGTTGTGCATTGATTTCGATTATGTCTAGCAGGCAAGCAAGATGTGTACAAAATCCATAAAATGCACATCATGTTCATATTATAAAGGCTGTAACTCACCTAGTAAGACATACCACCCTAGTTCAAGTCGAGCTTCCTCCTTTTGCGATTTCACGTCTGTAAATATTCCAACATCAAGGCGAATCACACATCCAGGCCTCCCTTAACGACCTCGGTGTTTCCTGAAAAACGTACGCGATAAGGGCGCTCTCTTTCCAGGGTACCTCCCAGCCTTCTAAAATGTCCCTCACGCAAAGGGTGAAAGTTTTATTTTCTTTCCTGCTTTGGACACAGCACCCCTCCAGAGTGTTCACATTGAATCCCTGCTGACTGAACCCGTGTATTATGATGTTTTATATTATTTACAGTCGGTGTTTATAAAGGATGATGTACCGCTCTATGTGATACAAGGCTCTGATTCTATCTCAGGTCCTCAATATTCGCAGCAGAGCCCATCCCCCTCCTAACCGGCATCGATCGCGGGTCCCACCGAAACTGACACACAACCACACTCGCGGGGTTTCCGCGACTGACGAGCAGGGGCTCATTAGTCGGGTCCCGTGTCACTGTTGCTATTGGAAAACAGAGGTGTCAATCTTGACAAGAAAACCGGAACCCGGGCGAACGATTGGACAATCTGAGTGCTGGCGTTTTATTCCTTCCCCTTTACTTCTCGTTTCGAAGAGGGCGGGTCACCTTCCTGCAGAGGGGTGGCAGAACGTCGCTGGAGTGAGCGCTGTCAAGGCAAAGCGGTGAGGCAGTCTGAAGAAGGAAGGCGAGAAATGCCGTGTTGTGGATTTATGAAAAACAAACATGGACCGTCCTGTACAGTATTGGAGAACTTACTACGTTACTAACACACACGCCGTGGACTTGTATTGTCTGTTAGGGGACTATAATTCATTGATGTTTCCTGAAATAACGAAAAAGGGAAACATGGTTCATAGTGGCACCGTTTAGCTGTCCATAGCAACACGGGGTCTCCGCGGCCCCATACCAGGGACTACGACATAGAGGTAGGGCCAGCCCCACCTAATCAGTACTGTGAATGGAAGATGAGATATCGGTCTAGTGGGATCTGGCAAGGGATTGGACAGGAAACTGGCCGTCCCTTTCGGGTTGTGTTGAATTACCACTGGCTCCCTCCTACAGATATCCCTGGCACTCAATGGAGAGAGGAGTACTAAGGGATTTAAATGATAAAACGAACCACTGACAAACTGAACCGATGTTACTGTGTGTACCTAAAGGATATCCTTTGACATTAAAAATAATTAAAAAGGGGAGTGATTTTCTTTTAATCTTGTTCTTTACGCTTAGTATCACTCGACCAGGATTCACTCTTTTTCACACTAATGATAATTATCTCGAGGCGAGTTGTTCGCTAAAGAACATTATCAATTTTAAAGGGCGAACAAGACAGCTTTTTCAATCCCGGAATTTCCGAAATGCCTACGACGACGGCTTTGCTCCCAGCGACTGACGGATTTGTTTGAGGTGGCTGGAGAAGCCAGGCTCGAACGCGATTGGCTGGTCTGTCGGGCCGTGAGTCCACTGTGATTGGCTAGGCAGCGTGTTTGACGTCATTTGTTGTAACGGCCTGCTTAGAACCAAATGCAAGCAGGAAAAAAATGTATATACCTTTAAATTCATACTAAAAACATTTGAATACCCACAATGTTATATATAATACTTTTAATACACTTCATGTTGGCTACTGTATTTTTCTGTAAACGTGTTTATTAAAAATACATGCAGTTTGTCAACAACGTCGACTATATTCTTTTTTAACATTTTCGTAATTGATACTTGAGCAAACAATCATGACTTGCTGGTCGCTTTTCGGCTATTGTCTAATTTTGTAGTTAAGTCATCTCAGCGTATGAGTCATTGCTGTTACTAAGCTGGTGAACTACTGAGCGATATAAAACGTACGATCGTACGTTAAGTATAATCGATTATGGTCAATTAAAAAGCACCCAAACCCTGATTGTTTTTCTCCACATTAAACAATGGTAACGCCCCGATTTACTTTAATTATTCGATGACCGAAATAGTTGGCAATTATGGACATTTTTGTCAACGTGGAGGTTAAATAATGAAAAATATTTTCTGTCTTGACAATATTTAGATATTTATTTGTCAGTGAGCGAAAAAAAAAACACGGTCTGTTTTAAGTTGCAGCAGTGGGGGAAGGGTAGACAAGATCCCATGCTCATGACGTAAGTGGCACAGTTTTAATATATATATATAAAATAGAGCTTCCGTGTAATTTCACGACTTGTGATATTGGAATTACAGCTCAGAAATGGTGAAAACGTGCTTCTAGTAGGCACTTAAATGATATAAAGTGGTACTACTAGGCGTTAAAACGGGACAGAGAACCAGGATAGCATGTATCTCGAGGAACTGACAGACACACGGACTATAATTTCAATCAAACGGCCGGAAACCCTCTTTTTCCCATAGAAGAATTTTCTAGGCGAAGGCTGTGGTGTAACAACAGGATAACCTTTGTTCGGCGGCCTGAGCAGAACACGTGACGAAATATCTGGTCTATGGAACGCCTTTTAGGTTGCCTAGCAACCGTGTCAAACCGAGGCTGCGGGCCCACAATGGCGCTATTGTATTCGCGACGAACAGACTACATACCGATAGTCAGGTCACATGGTACGTAAAAGCAAGCAGGCAAGCCGACCAGTCTCTTCGTTTGAGAAACGTCGCGTCAACCTACTGTGTATGCTGAAGGCTGCAAATTCCAACATGGTATATTTAACGCGTATTTAGTGATTCATTTACGTTGTATCTTAACAAAAATGCATCGCATGCATAGAACCACCTACTTATGTAACATTTTTTCAACAGCATGGCGGAATTCGAGTTACCTAAATTTGTCTTTAATTTAAAACGAGTTGTAATAATACCCTCCATATTTTTGAGCCGTTTATTTTCAGGAGTAAAATCACACAACTCAAAACATAATCAGCCATATGTTCAGGGTATAGATAGGGCACAGAGCCTAACATTTATTAATGAAAGAATTTTCATTTTTGTTAGACATCGTCTTAAATTTCCATTTAAATATCGAGAATATAAATTTTCTGTCATTCATATTCAAGAATTAAGTTCATCCATGCTACAAATGTCAAAACGATACTTATATAGTAAACACACATCCCTTAGAAAAAGTAATATGATTCTACAGTGCATTATATTAAAAATGCAAATGCTTCCAACAGTAACGTACAGCCACAACACATAGGACAAACGTATTTAGTGTGATTACTCACAAGGAGCACGTGATGACTTCCCAACCACTACCAGACTGCTAATGCAATGAACCTGCACACAGTTCCTACAATGTGTGCTCTAGGTACCATGAACCCCCCAAAAGAAAAGACCTATTTTTATGCACAAATATACATCATCTTGGTATGGTGAGGCTGAGGCCCTTAAGTGTTTCTCTGGCAAGCACAAAAATACACAAATTAAGACATTCAAAACAAAAAAAAAACTGCTTAATGCAACACATTCCTAAGTGTAGGCATTATAAACAAAATAACATTTTCCTCTTTAAAAACAATGTGATTCCACAAAGACCTCAGAAGATTAAAGACAACACGATTTATAAAACATTGAAATGGAAAAGACGGTCTACAGTATACATGGTCTTGTGTCTGTCAGCACAGGTCTTAAGTGAGAAACTCCCAAGTCTTTACCAACAGAACCCTGCCAGTATGACAAAAGATAAAACTCCAGGTTCCAAAATGATGTCAGTACAACAAACTGGATTGCACAACTGCTTCAACAATAAATATGCTTAAAATAACTTGGTTTTTCAGCTCCTTCACCAAGAAGTATTTTCAGTATAAGGAGAGAATGATAGATGTCGTGGTTCATAATCAGATTGATCTGTGATCTGTCTTCATAAAGGACTACTTTAACTAGCTACTAAGTTATATTTAAATGATAATTTCACCTAATTTTTCTGAAATTCAATCTATTATTTACTTTCAGTCAATTAGAACATGCTGCAGAACCAGTCGTTCCCCTATCTTAAGCAGCATTCCTCTCCTGCAACCCCCAGCCGGTCGTACAGAAAGGGAGTAGAATAAAAATGGCTGTGTGTGTAAGTGTGGCTTGCTCATGTTTTATTTATTATACACCATTGCATGCGGAGACTCCTCTGTTTCGGCCAGCTGCTGCCCCCTGCTGTCTGTGTGCCGCTGCTGCATGGCCAAGCAAGTCCCATCTGGGTCTTTACAGCGGCTTCAGGCTCCCGATCACGTTGTTGACCATTTCCTCCTCTCCCATGATGGCCAAAACAGTGCACGAGCCAGACTCCACCTACCCATCGACACACTGTAGTTGTTATGAACTGCCCTCTGTATATTAAGCACGTAATATGGACAATAATTTTCCTTATATCATGCACACAATGTGCAGTTTTTGTAATAGGTCATGCATTATTGGAAGACTCATTTTACTATTTTTTTTATTGTGTCCAACAGGGCTAAACATATTTGATATATAAACCAGAGAACAGTAATGGAACCTGCCCATGAAAATAATTATGAAGATCATTATAGAAAGCAGACAATGGGGTGCTTCCCTACCTGGGTGCGGGTGGCATCCTGGACCAAGTAAGTAGGTAGGTTAAGACTCATGGCCAAAGCCTGGAGCTCTAACAGGTGTGCCATGTTAGTGCCCTGCACCACGACCTTCCTCGCCCTGCATATAGGAAACAAGTGAGACCCTTCTGTAGCTGCATAATCCTTCCACCCTCTCATTCACTGAACGAAACCTCCAGAGGACACAACACAGACTGTGAGGCTGTCCTTAGGCCAAGTCCGCTGTGCATGATTTGGCCTCAGGACCCCAAAACAGCATCACCCAGTCCATACAGCGCCTTACCCAGCATGGTCCCACTTCCAGGCCATTTCTCTCCAGCTGTTCTTCTCCTGTAGCGCCTGGTACAGGCCCACCGCTGCGTGCCCCACCTGCACAGCCACCTGTGCAGCATAAACGGAGGGAGGGACTCAATAGGTGCTATACATGAAACATGAAACTGTCAATGTTCCCCAATAAGAGGAAGGTGCATTGCATAATGTCTGCTGTGTATCAATGTCTGCATGTTCTCTATGCCTGGGATTCAAAAACTGCTGACAGACAGCCAGAAATCCCACGGAGATGCTACCAGATACCACTGATCACAGCGCGTAAGGAGCATGCACTGATTGCCGCACCCATCACACGATAAATCACCTCAGGGATGAGAACCTGAGTGCAGCCATGTGGCAGGTGACACCTCAGCACCACACTAGTCCAAATGGACCAGTGTGAGTTTTTTTCCGGTGGCTGGAATGCCAATCTTGCCACCAACCCCCACGATGGAGGACCTTCTTATAGGACTGGGTGTAGATTAACGTCATACCCAGGATGAAGCAATTGCAGGTTAAGGGCCTTGCTCAAGGACCCAATGGTGTAGAATCACTCTGGGCATTCAGGAGATTTGAACCAGCAACCTTCCAGTCGTTGGCACAGAGCCCTAGCCTAAGAGCCACCACTCCACCTGCTTTCCAGTGGCGAGTCAGATATGGCAATAATGAGAAGAAATAAAGGGAAGATGGACACAAATAACCTGCTCAACTGCTTATCTGCCAATATGTTTGGCTGTGATTAAATAACTTAGCAGCCATTCCAACAATTTTTCACAAAAGGCTTCACGTTCATTTAAAAATCAGTGAATAAAAAAGACAGTGAGGTGGCACTAACCTTCCCCACCCCCATAGACAGGTCCATGTTTACAATGAACACCATCTTAAACATCAAATCCTCGTCACCTTCCTCCTGTAGACATGAAATTTAAGAGACAATTATTTCAAGAAGTTGAGGTCCAGACAGTTTGTATTTGTAACACAAGAAAAACAGGGTGTTAAAGGCAGCACCTCATTTTCCAGTTTGTTGAAATAGTACATGGCTGCTTCCTCAGCAGAAACGTTCCGGGTGTGTAGAAGTGCCTGGGGCAGAACAATACCAGTTCAGAAGTTCAAGAAAAATCTAATACAAAAAATTACTGCATTTTTTTGTGGAAAAAAAGACACGTCAGAGATGATTCAGATACCATTCAACACTATGTCACTGTTTCTGACGATGACCAAAACTGTGAACTAGTTTTTATTGTACAGAGACACAATAAAATCTATGGGTAGGTTTATGGGGCACAACATGCAATAAAATGTAAGGAAACGGGTTCGACGTCAGGAGACATCAAACAGCACATGAGCTGGAGATGGCGGGGGTACGTAAGGTACCTGCTTTGCAGCCTCCTCTGGAATGTCCAGTTCCCTTAGCTGCTGAAGGTAAACAGGATTCACCTCCTGGGAACCTGAGTCTGGAACAGCCTGCTCCGATGGCTCCATAGTCTCTACTGCAACACCAACCCATTCATTATCATTGATACTCAAATGGTGTTATTTTAAGCTAATCTAACTTTCTTCTCATTTTTATTTTTTCTAAATGGATTTATATGGACAAGATCTATTATAATATTATTCCAAATTCCTATAATGTGGTATATGTTCAAATTTTTCTGTAATTACGGTAGAGTGTATTTCGTTCTATTATTAGTATTAGTGTTGATGTATGTCGTATGATTATAGGGAATTACTATCAAAAGGAGCCTTCAAAATTTGAGGTAAACTATTATATTAGCAGCAACAGAATACACTGCAACCACGTGTTTATGAATGACACCGTTCCCAGCAATCCCCCCCACCCCCACCCACGGTGGATCTAAACATAACATCGCTGAGTAGTTTCGGAGCTTCAAACATATTACTCCCGTTTCCAGGTAATTTAACTGTAATAACTTAAGATTGATTTTAAGTCACGTTTAAAACCTAAGTTCGTCGGCGACGTTTTAAATCGGTTTATTTTATTATATATATATATATATATATATATATATATATATATATATATATATATATATATATATATACATACATACATACATACATACACACATATATGTATGTGTATATATATATTTATATATACATACACACACACACACGTACATGCACACCCACCCCTTTATACATCACAAGACAAGTGATGAGTATCTTATTAATGCTACTAGCAACCGATTTCATAGTTAAGGAACAAACCTTTAAAAAGCCTTTCAATCTCAATAAATGACCTTTTATGCGAATTGCATGCACTTCTAAAATTCCCATAATTTCAATACACTTTTCCAGACACTCATCACAAACCTCTGCGTGTTGCGCAGCTTAATAGCAGCGATGCTTTGTAATGTGATGGACCCGACGATACGGCTAGCTGGCCCGATAGCCAGCCAGCTACTCTTTCTGTGTAGCTTGTCACGAAGTGAGTGTTCCGTACGCCAGCCAGCTAGACGTAGCGAGGCCGTTAATCCCACAGGCTTAAAGGGAATCGCAAGGGAGCGAATGCAAGAATAGCCGATTTTCAGCACCTTAGTCCATCGCACAAAACGTCAACGGCTCAATTTACGCATCTCACTGGCTTCAGACGCGAAGTCAGGCTCGCCCCAGCTTCCGGGTTCCGCACGAAATTGCAACCGTCGGGAAAATCGATACTGAAACTATAGTTCCCATGTCACATGTTGAACCGGGGGACTTACTGTGCCCATTTTTTTCTTAACACCGTATGCACATTGATGCTCAAGAAGTAGCCATTCACATAAATGGTATGGATTAACCTAAATCAAAATGGGAACCATATATATAAAAAAAACATTTTTTCTTGTAATGCGACTTTTACTTCCATCGGAGATTCTCTACTGGCATTCAAATTTAAGGGTAGTCATCCTTCTTTGTTCAAGTGGCCCAATGTTCTAGTTGTTCAGTTGTCTTCCTTAGCGATTGAAGCATAAGCTTAGACTTTATACTTACATGTTATTCTTTCTTATAAAAATACCACTACTGTGAGAGTATTTCGACTAAGCGGACAGCAAAATCATCGTATGTGCGAAGGCATGGCGGATTAATGGGGAAATCAGTGTTTCATAACAAATCAGCCATGTCCTTCACAGACAGAAGTGATTAAAAACAGACACAGTAAAAATGAACAATTTTATTACATTACCACTTGTGGAAATCTCGTATTAAACAGATTAAGTGTCTAGAAGTTTTCTTTATTATTCCATTTACAATCATAGAAAGAACAACTCTTAATTTTAACATCTTTAGTGATCCCGCAGAGCCGGCTCTACACAAACTACATTAGTATACCCTAGGAGTAATGTTACACTTTCTTTTGACCATATTTCTGTCATCCTCTTTTTTTTTCTTGATAATACCTCAGAGGTCGTGGACCCCCGTCCCAGGACACCACTGTGCATGTTTGACTTTAGTTCTCACCGAATATTGAAAATAGGGCTGGTTTAATACAAATTCAAAGGGACAGATCCTTCAGGAAAAGTGTTGTAAACGGGTTTCAAAGTAAGCTGTATTCTACATAACACAGGTTTTAATTGGCTACAGAAGGCACTCGAATGCTAAGCTTTCAAATTGGTCATCAGGAGTCGAAAATACATATTTTAAAAACATGTTTATAAAAAAAAAAAAAAAAAAAAAAAACCAGCAAAAGCGTTCGAGCTCCCCGCTCCCATTGATCCCGAGCATTAAACACCAAACCGCACGTCCTTAATTTAAACGATTCCTTTGTAGGCGTACATATCAAATGACGGTATAAATTAGGTTCACTATAACGATTCTTTCCAAATTCTTAAACAGAATCGAATACCGTGCCATGTTTCTAAATATCCATTTTGAAAACAATTACACAAAAGTAGCCTATACACTCTGGTATCCCAGGACTAAGGTACAGACCCCGAAGGACACTGAAAACACAAAACAGAAAATGTACATTCGAAATTCTCAGGACGACATTTTGTGGTTTTATTATTTAATTCAATCATTCTTTATTTTCTAACCTTCCATTGCCTTCATCCTCCCCCACTAATTCAAATCAGAATAACTAACATGTTCAAAACACCCCCGACATTTCTCACACCATCACTTCAAGGCAAACACGCATTCACCTCCCCCGGAGGCGATCATTAGTACCCGTGAAGGTCCGCAGATGTTTGTAACCAGACAGCTGCTTCTCTTTTGGTCACTACACAAAGGACAGAACTGACAGGGGCCAAGTCAATCATTATACTAAAAGCAGCGACTACTACCATCTACACGTAGACGGATGGGATATTTAAAATCGCTCTCAACTTGAATGTCACCTTCATTTTGAAGTCTACTGGTCCCCGGGGATTAGAGCGCCATCAAAGGGCAACCCTCAGAAACGTGGAGACACGGAAATGATCGATCAAGGCGTAAACCTACCCTTGTTACAGCACTGAAATTCTTAATTACCCCTCAACTGACGAGAATAAACTGATTTTATATTGTTTAGAAATCCATTTTATATATATTCCTTGGACGAGCCCAACCAAAGTGCGCAAAGAAATGATCATACATACGGTCTTTAATACCATATTAATAATAAATAGCGAGTTTGCACAGCCACGCATTGAATGAACCGAGCCTTGTCAATATATTCTTTGTCGCTCTCTAGCGGTGACAGTGAATTGCACCACAGCGCCTGCTTAACGCTTGAAAAGCTGCATCAAATTCCGGTCAAACTAATTTATAATTTTATTTATTGTCCACCTTGCATTCAAAACACCAGTCAGCTCCACCAAGAAGTAAAGTGGCACAGCGGTGAAAAAAAGTTACCTTAAAAACCGCTACACAAACTTCCATTGGCATATAGTTGTTCACCAAAAACTGCAGTTACGCAAGACACTGAAATTGTTCCTTAAATTTATCTTTCCTTCAGTGACTCTTACCCAACAGCAGGAGGGAAAATGTAAAGGATGAACGGATATCAGCATGTATGGGAGTAAGTTCTAAGGGGATGCCAAAAGCACCCCACTGGAACAGAAAAGCAGGTTTTAATAAATGATGGGAAACAAGTTTCATCAAAAAAAAAACAAAACTGAGAAACTGAAGAGGGAAAAAAAAAAAAAACTTAGTCAAAGTGCACAATCTTAATTTTCAGCAGTCTGAAAGTTTGTCTACTATACAACATAACTTTAGATATGAATTGTAACAATTGTTACAACAAAAATAACCAAAACCAATGTTTATTCTCCATACTTATGAATAAAACATTTTGGTTGGACTTATCTGTCAACTAACACATTGATCGTTACCCATGGATGCACCACAAGGTTAACGATGCTGATCGTAAAATGTATAAATAATGCATAAGGAAAATATACAATTGTCAGGACAGATATCAGTAGTGTAAGTTTTAAAAAGGGAAAAAAGCTAAACCCTTTAGGCTAAAACAGAATAAATACATGACCCATGGCAAAATCCCAGAGGCCCATTTTGGAGGGCTTGCTACATTATATGGAAGAAACAGCTTTTAAAAACAGTAGCTTCTTTTTCTGATAGGCTGAAAATTAAGGAAAAATTGAGTACCGCTTTTAAAAACTTGGAACCCTCATTATTCTACCATTTTAAACAATTTAAAAAGAATGTTAAATTTTTCTAGTGTCAGGCAGTGTCCAATGACCAAAATTCATAAGCACCTGCCACATACATTACCCACAGAAGAGAACGGAGCGAGATATTCACATGCAATAGTGCCATTCTTAGTAAACAAACTGACCTCAGTAGATACAGGCCACATGTACATTGAGACAAACGAGCGAGAAACATGGACAGTGGTTCCAAAGCTGGAGCCACTTCTCTCACTGTCCATCAGACTCCCAATGGCACGTGGCTCTGATTCACGTAACATGTAGTTTGCTTAATGTGGGGGGGGGGGGGGGACATTCCGGAAAACACCCAGGTCCCTGTACCGTCCTTTTTCCATCTGATTCCAACCTGTGCCAGGACTCCCCTTCACAGATGTCTGCTCTCTCTCTTTGTTGTGTCAGTGAAAGAGCAGAAACGCCTGACCCTCTGAAAGCACCTCCTCCAGCCCTTAATGTTCATCTCGCTAAGCTTGTAAAGTCAACATTTCTCAGAAAGAAACTAAACATAAAACCATCCTGCTGACACCATGGAGAATGGAGACGGGCAACGAAATGGATCCAGCCCTCCTCGTCTCATTGAGGTTTCAACCATCTCTGGTAAGCGGGGGGAGGGGTCACCCTCCAGCTCTTCCGGTCCCCACCGGCATTGCCGTCACAAGTCCGTCACCTTGTTCTCCACCGCGGCTGCTACCTGCTGCAACCTGTAGCCCAACTGCATCTTCTGGGCGGTGCTGTCCTCCTCCAAGGCAGTGATGATCTGAAGAACAACATGGAAAGGGGTGGGGGGGGGGGCAAGGCATCACCAAGAGCACGGAGCAGAACTTTGGTGTGACCAAATAATCGCAGTGATGTGTTATGGTGTTGCCAGACAAGACTCACCTGGTCATAGTACTTGTTGATGTACTTGTATAATTCATGCAGGGCCACAAGGTAATTCAATTCACCTGAGTAATTCTGAAGGCCAGAGCAGACAGAAAAACTATTCACCATTTTCCATTTAGTATTTAAAGCCATTTACTGCAGTTTCCCATAATTCAAAGTACCCTGGAGCCTTTTTGGACCAAGAAAAAGTTTTACTTATTGAAAGCTTCTCTAAAAACCAGCTGAACCAGTTGAAAATGATGTGATAATTTAGCTATGGGGTAATGCAGTTTTGTAATTCTAGACTGAATGTGTTACTGAGAAGCTGACTGTGATAAAAAGAGAAGAATTTATCAGGCAGTTTACTGTAAGTGAAAACATTTTAAGTCCAAGTGAAAGGACGTACCCTAGACAGCTCTGCCAGCGCAGAGTTCATCTCCTGGTCACTGGCTGAAATGGTCTGCCTGATATCTGCATAGTACCTGTACAGACATGCGGCATTTTACACAACAGGCATGGCACTCCTGCATCTGGCTGTGACCCTGTCACAGCCTGAAAAAAAAAACAAATGCCCATTACATTCCTGTTCCTATATACATAGCCTCCAATGAACGATGAGCCAGTCCATGCCAACCAATCATATCTCAGCTGTGCCAGCTGCTGTGACATCATAGGGAGTGAGGCAGGGGGAGGGTGCCCTGGTCACCCTTACCTCTCCACCATCTGCTTGTACCGTGGGATGTCTCTGGCATACAGCAACTTGTTTATAGGAGAATCCTAACAAGCCAAGAAAAGACAGCGAAAATTCAAGATATGACGCTGGGGACAGCAGAAAACACAGACACAAGTAAGCCTCCCTGACACCCCCCCGTGATAATCCCTCACCCTGCCCAGCTTGTGTTCGGCAATGGTGCACGAGTCCATGAAGGTCTGCGCAATCACTGACAGGACGGCATCCACATTGTCCGAGGCCTGGACGTCAAAAATGAACTGGGGATTCTTGATGATGTTGATCCAGAACCTCAAAGGCAAACTGTGGGGAGCCAGAATGGACAAATTCAACAGAGATTCTCGGGAAACTAATGACCCAGACCTTCTTCTGTCAGTTTTTATGTAAAGGGAGGATTGAAACATTTGAAAAAGTCAAAATTAGGTGGTTTGATTCACAAAGTTGCTCATTTAGCTCCATTTATTTTTATATAGCACATATATTAATTTGGTTACACCGACACCCAAAAATCAAACACTGACGCATATTGCCATATAACAGAAGTGCGTATGAATACAAGAAAAGTGTCAGAGTCCAAGGGCAACTGGGAGGCCAAGAAAGTGCACATAGTTCTAACTTCTGTCGTGCTGCCTGTCTGTCATCACACCATCTGTGAGTCCACTGTCTTTTCAACCTGCAAAGCAGCCCTTCGTTCCCACCTGTTGGTTTTCCATATGTGGATTGTCTCGGAGTCCGATATGCCGTGGTGCACAGCTCGGTCATCCAGGAGGTCGAAGAAGTACTTGACGGCCAGCGGGACCGGTCGGCTGGTGCTGAGGATCACCTGGAACAGGTCATCCACAAACTTCTGCAGCGTGCCCTGAAAGATCAACAGATGGAGCGTTAATAGTTAGGATGAATGTGGACCTTCTGGGGTTTGGCAGATGGAGGATCATGATTTTATGTTGAGCAGCGACCAAATGGCCCAAGATGAAACGGTGATTGGCGATGAGCAGCAGCCCTGACTGTGCTGCACCTTCATGGAGAGCAGGCGTGTAAGGTAGATCTCTGGGATGGCTTTGGCCCTCTCCCTCTCCCTCAAGCTTCCACGCCTGTGTTTCGGCAAATCTGGCTCCTCACTGGCCTTCACCAGGTGCCACGGCCTCACTCCACCTTCGTCCGCATCCTCCAGCATGGGAGTTTCTGT